CATGTTTTTGCCCTGGTGGTCACTATTTTTTTTTTCATCACAGCTTGATTGAGATATAATTTACACAACATAAAATTAACGCTTTGGACGAGTACAGCTCAATGATTTTAGTAAAACTGAAGAGCTGTGCCACCATCACTACGTTCCAGTTTCATAACCAAAAAGTTTACACCGGCTCACTCCCATGTGTGGTCATTCAGATTTTATATTGCCCTGTGCTTTAATAACTGAATAATATTGGAGTGATCCTTATATAGTAGATTTTCTTATTTTAAAGTAAGTCCTTACTGACTTAATTTTTTTATATAAAAATGTTACCTACTTGTGTGCTTTTTGCCACAAGGGTAACTAAGTAGCTTTTCAGTTTTATTTTCCTTTTAAGAGATAAATGATGTTGTTCTGTTAACTTCCATTTCCCATCTCCCAGAGACCAACGTCCCCCAGTTAATCAGCTCCCTATCACACCTCGGTACGCACTTACCTGATTTATTCCTCCTGTCCTTTGGACAGATGCAGTACACGTTATACCTTCTCTTCCCCGATGCATTGTTCCTCATCTTCTGACTTCCTTCACTTTTTATAATCTCTTCTCTTCTCGTCTTTTTCTGTCTTTGTTTTACCCAAAGACAGAATTGTTGGAGAGGGAGGATTGGGCCTAGCCTTGGCTGGTGAAAAGGAAACCATTATATTTTCTTTCCTGCCACATGGAATCCTCTTACCCCGGGGGTTTATGGCTTAGTAGTAGCCCAGGTCAGGTGATTTGAGTTGTCCTCCTGCACCAAGAGCCCATTTTATTTCACTCCCTGGGACAGTGGGTGAGCTTGTCTTTGACCCCAGTTAAACTTAGCTGGAACTTTGGAGGAACTGCTGAAAATAAGATTAGCAGAGAGGCATCACGTATACCTTGTTAAGAGAGATAGTGAAGAGTGCCTTAGAAAGAAGCTCCTGAACCGAAGTGTAATTACGATATTTTACTGTGATACTCAGCCCCAAATAAACTAATAATAAAATTGCCGTCTATTTTTAAAAACTTATTCCCTTGAAGTGTAGTTGGTTTGCAGTGTGTTAATCTCTGCTGTACAGCAAAGTGATTCAGTTATACATATATATATTCTTTTTCATATTCTTCTCCATTATGGTTTATCACAGGATATTGAATATAGTATCCTGTGCAGTAGGACCTTGTTGTTTACTCTTGCCTTCCATTTTTAAAGCGGTATACATTAGATTATATTTAGAGCCTATATACATAATAACAATCTCCATAATAAAGTGGTATTGTGGAGGCGAAGAAAACCCCCACAGGCTTTAAAATCTCTTTCTGCTCTTCTACTTGCTGCTCTGTGACCCTGAGCAAGTTAATTTTGCTGGGCCTCAGGTGCCACATCTGTATAATGGGAATAATAACACTTCGCAGGACTGTGGTGAAGATTAAATTAAATGACATGACATCCACCCTTCTCACAATGATCTGTGTATCCTCTCTGGGCACAGGGTTCTGCACAGGAAATGGGCAAAGCCAAAGCATAAATAAGCCATCTCTTCCCGGAATGTCTGTTAAAGGTGGAAATTGGTGTGCGTGTGGGAGAGGGTGGTGGGAGGGTACTTTCTTTTTTAAGTAAGAGCAGGTATATTATGTGAGCTCCACCTTCGTTCTTAAGGGAAAACTCAGTACGTTAAAGAAACGGCATGCTCGGGACAGGCAACTTCAGTCATACCCTTGGAGCCCCTGGCATTACTCCTTTACCATTAGGAGTAATCACATGGAAGAGTTTGAGAAACACTGCCATTTATAGGACAGTCTCATCATCCCTGTTTCATGATGTTTCCCACTACATTTCCCGAGCACATACCTGATAGCTTCTCCTGGGTGTTGATGACATTGAGCTCACCATCCTCCCTCCATGCCTGATTCTCCTTCTGTGTCCCCTACCGTAGTAATTGACACCACTGTCCATTTAGTTACTCAAGTCAAAACCAAGGAGTCCTTGTTGACCCCTCTCTCCCCTGCACACCCCATGGCCAATCCTTACCTTCAGGTCGTGGCAACATTGCCACCTTCACCTTCTTGAGTGTATCCCCGTCTCTGTGTCTGTCTTCAGCATCTTAGGGTAGCTGCCATCATCTTCTGCCCAGACTCTTCTGTAATCACCTGGTAACTGGCCTCCCTCCAATCCATCCTCCACACTAAAATGGGCGTTGGTCTTTCAGATACTTAAATCTGATCACTTCTTCCCATTTCCCTTCGAATAACACGGTCGATAAGGCCTTTGCATGGCCCAGGCCCCCTGCCCCTTTGGCCACATCTTAAACCATCATTCTACACCTGGTGCTGGTGGTACAGTCACACCAGATTGCTGTCTGCTTGTCCACGGCACCCTGATTCCTCCGTCAGGAGCCGTTGCCAAGCTTGCTCTATCTGGAGTGTTTCCGTCAGCTCCTACCCAACTGCCCTGGGCTAAGATAAGGTATATTTATCTTTCAAACTCAGCTCTGGGGTTTCTTCCTCAGAAAAGCCTTTTCTGACTCCCCAGTGGAAGAGGTTATTTATCATACACTCTGATGGAACCATGTCTTCTTCTTTATTTATTTTAAATTATTTTATTTATTTTATTTTTGGCTGCATTAGGTCTTCGTTGCTGCATGTGGGCTTTCTCTAGTTGCAGTGAGTGGAGGCTACTCTTCCTTGTGGTGCGGTGGCTTCTCATTGCGGTGGCTTCTCTTGTTGTGGAGCACGCGCTCTAGGCGTGCAGGCTTCAGTAGTTGTGGCGCACGGGCTCAGTAGTTGTGGCTTGTGGGCTCTAGAGCACAGGCTCAGTAGTTGTGGCGCACGGGCTCAGTAGTTGTGGCTTGTGGGCTCTAGAGCACAGGCTCAGTAGTTGTGGCGCACGGGCTTAGTTGCGCCATGGCATGTGGGATCTTCCCCGACCAGGGCTCGAACCCATGTCCCCTGCATTGGCAGGCGGATTCTTAACCATTGTGCCACCAGGGAAGCCCCAAGGAACCATATCTTCTTTTATGAGGCCCATCTCAATTTGCAGTCACACATTAGGCGATATCATGATTTGATGACTGAATCACACATTAGTCTATAATCCCTGTGAGGGAAGGGCTGTCGCTTTGGTCACCATCATCACCAGCCCCTGACAGAGTAGCTTTGCACTCCAGGCAGCTGGTCCTCAGTTGTTGAATGAGTGCGGAGAGACAGCTGAGGTCTGGATACCTAAGTGGTTGGCCTGACAGTGACCATATTCTGCTGATACTTGAGATCTCGGACCTCAGCGTCTAGGGCTCTGTCGCCTCGCTGCAGATCCTTCCCTTAGTGCCGTGGGTCAGGTTCATCCTCTTTACTCCACGGTTTTGAAAAGCCCCTGGGAATCCTCATTTTGTTGAAGAGAAATCTGTTCATTTACATGGTTCAGTACAGGATGGCAAAGCACCTGTTTATTCACCCAAAAGATCGCTAGCAGACTTTTTACTTAAAAACCCCCGCTTCATCTTGCCTGTTCAGTCTTTCCCACTGTGCTGCTGAGCAAATCTTTTTTAAAATCAGGCAGAACTTTCTAACCGAGCTGCACGCACCTCTCTTCCCCTTCCCCGGGCATCCCACTTCTGCACGAGAACCCCGTCTGCCCTGTTCCCACCGTATCTTGCTATTTGGGTTGGGACATAAAACTCCTTCACCTCCCAAAACGAACACCGCTCCATTGATCCTCCCGCTCACCTCTAACCCTTGCCCTTCCGTACAACCTTCCTGCCCTCACGTCTGTGGGTAAATCTTGGTGGCTGGGGTGGAGGCACCAGTGTCTTCCCAGACTGGCAAAGTGACTTGATTAAGAGCACACAGCTAGTGGGTAACATAGTTGCAATCACAATTCTTGTTTCCTTGCTTTCTTTCTAGTTCTTACTCATATTCTTTGCATTAAATTCTGTTGAGAGGTGTGTGTGTGTGTGTGTGTGTGTGTGTGTGTGTGTGTATGTGTATCTGCATCTAAATTTGTCTGCATAAAATTGTTTCCTTATTTTATAACTGGTATTTTTCCCCCCTGAATAATTGTGTATCCAAAGGATATAAAGAATCTCAAGTTGACAAAAGCGATTGCTGTCACCTCTCACCTCCTCCATTCCGTGTTTACTGAAATGTCAGCTGCTGCAATAGCTTTCTTTCCTGTGCAGGTTCTGCTGGTTTCCCCTTCCCTACCTGGGGCCACAGGCCTGCCCTTTCGTGCTGCCCTCACTTCCCCACTCTGGGGCTCTGTTTCCACTTGCCTTGCCCTCCATCATACCCACTGATCCGAGAGGAAGTGCTCCCTCTTCCCCCCCTGCAGCTCCCACCTGCCTCAACGGTTGGCCCAGGTGAATGGCTGGTCAGGTGGAAGTGTGTCTGGGAACTGAACAGTCCGTTCCCTGTTTGGAGCCAAGAGAGGAGAGCAGTGGGTGGGCGTCGCACGGAGCTCTCCCACCCCCCCAGGCTCTTCTCGGGAACCTGGGTACCAATCCAGGGCGCTTATTAGGAGATATTTTCAAATGACTTTTAAAATAGTTGGGAAGCATCAAAATCCTCAATGAGACGTGATCTGTATGCACTAGGTAATTAAAAAAGAAACCCCCCCCCACCAAAAAAAAAAAAAAAAAAAAAGAAATCCCACCTATGAGGAAAGGCCACACTCAGGAAGATGCTGTGTGATGCAGAGGTTAAGCCGAGGGCAGAGGTAGTGTTTTCTGGCTTTGAATCCTGGATGCTCTTCTCAGTATGACTCTGATGAGATTAAAAATGCCTACCTCATAGGTAATTTGATGGTCTTGATGATCAAATAATTGGATTAAAATGCTGATCATAGTATCAAAACGTATTAACTGGTATCATTAGCTTACATTAGTAAAGTATAACTTATGGAAGCTTTCCCATATATTACATTTCAGTACATCTTAAAATATGATGCTTTTTAGAAACGTCTTTGTTACCTACTCACCCCTGCTTCTCTGTGTTTTGCTCGCAGCCCTGGAAAGGAAAATATCGATGAGGCAAAGCAGAGAGGAGCTAATAAAACGAGGGGTCTTGAAGGAAATCTATGATAAAGGTAAGGGGACCACTCCAGTCTCCATGAGTCAGAAAAAAAAGCCGTGCATGGAATCTGTGTGCATATTTCTTGGAGTTGGATTCAGTTTTCTGTATCACTTTATCAGAGTTTGAACCTTTAAAACTCCAGACACTTCTGGAGAGATCAGAGAATGTAGCAGACAGCGCTGAAGTGATTGCTATTATAGAGGGAACGAAAGCTCCCTTTTTCTCAGCACTGGAATCAAACCATAGGATGCTGAGACAAATGATGTGGCCCGAGGAATGGTGTCAGTACTGGTGGTGAGCCTGTTGGTGTCTGAACACACACAGCTGGGGTGAATTTAATTGCTCAGGCTCTTTCAGGCACTAGGGGTTCCCAGGACAAATGTTAAAAATCCACAAGCATCTAGAGTTTCTCTAACAGATTTTTTGGCGGCAGTCCATCTCCCAACAACAGGAGAAATCAAAGTGGAGAAAATTATATATAATTTTATATAAATGTACACATATTTCAAATGATAATATTTCCAGTGATTACAAATGCGCTGTGAATGTGTCCAAAAGTGTTTGCTGGTGAACTTATCCTGTGTCTTTTTCTGATTGAACTACTGCCTTTAAATACGAAGGTATGCAGTGGTTTACCCAGTATATTAACTATTCTTCACTCCCCTCCCCTTCCTCTCACCATCCTTCATTTAAGGCTTTGAGAAAAATGATGAACTGTTATTCCAGTCTTGTTACAGTCATCAGTAATAATTGTCTGTTCTAGATCTTATTATTTGAGGCCAGTATTATTTGTTGGGCCAGATTATTAAATCACATGTTCCGCTTTAAAGGTCCACCCTGATCATCAAAGTGATCCTGTAATTCTGACAGTGCAGAGTCAGTTTTCCATGTTTTTGTAGGTCTTCTGCATGCCTAGTTTGTGTTCTGATACAGAAAGGCAGGCTGTGTTTCTAACTTGGGCGCTTCTGTCTGATTCCACTGTCTTCAGTGAGTTGGTCCTTATTCCTCTGGTGGTACAGTTCACCCCATTCATCCCTGCCATGGAGCTTCCTGATGGCACTTTGGAAGTATTTTTTCTTAGCACACATTGCCACCCCGAAACGCTGCAAGTAGGAGGTGGCACTGCTCTCGCCCTAGTGGCAGGGGTTGCAGCAGGTAGGGTGTGAAGCTGTACTATTTCAAACCGCCTTTGTTCATTAGCAGAGCCTCCTGGCCCCAAGGCATCCCTATGGCGAGTCCCATCATCCTTCTACTTCTGGGTGAGACATACCAAGATACAGTTTCTTTGGTTGATTAAGCTCTCCAGAGAAAAAGAATGCATCATTTTGTCACTTTTCTCCAATGTCTTATTTCTGTACAGGCCCCCCAAACCCTCCCTTATACTGACCTTAAGTTTCCATGTTTCATCTCAAACTCCTTTCTCTATATTCCCTCCCCGGTGAAGATGGGAAGTGTCTGACCGCAGGTAGGGTATTACAGGTCAGCATCCCAGGGCTTAAATAAAGATTACTGTCCTAGCTAAAGCCTGTTCAGATCCAGTTAAATGATCCCTCCCCCTCCCTCCTTTCTTCCTGCAAACTTTATGTCTCTCACAGGAAAATTTCCGGAATCCTTTAAAGGAGAGGATACATTTTTTTATAGTATTTATTATTTCCATCATACCTAATAACTGAGTTACGGTAAATATTGCCGGAGTAACTTCCTGACTTAATCAAAGAAGCCATAGACTGTTAGAGCAAAAGCCCATGTTATAGAGGAAGAAACAGGGGACATTGAGTCTGGGGCCTGCCAGCCCCCATTAGGAGTTGCCCCAGGATTCGGAGCTGTGTCCTGTTTGTGATCTCAGTAACCGGCTGTGGAGGAAAGGACCAGGTTGGCCGCCGCCTGTCACCACAACTTCCGGTTTTATTTTTGTCTTTGCACTTATCGCTGTCTCCTTTTTTCTGTTCTGTTGTTGGCCGGCTTTCCTCACTAGCACGTTAACTCCAGGAGAACATGGACTTCATAAGGCTTGATGCCAGACCCCCTCAGAAAGTGGCTGACATAGATTGGCTCAAAAAATGCTTATTGTTTGTATGATGGGAATGGGAGTAGAGGGAAACTAAAATTGCACATAGTAGGTATAGAAGTTTGTATTTGCTGTGGGTTTTTCTGATAAAAGCGTCCATTTTGTATCACTGTGGATATTAATCACATTACCTTGTATTATGTTACATCAGCTGTTCAGAACGTGAGCCCTGTAATCATTGCTTGGATTCAATTCCAGTTCCACTACTGAGTAGCTGTGCAACTTTCGTGAAGTTGCATAACTTCTCTGTGCTTCTATTTCTGTATTTGAAAGTGTGGATAATATTGTAATGAGGATTACATGAGATAACATATCTGTATTAGTTTGCCAGGACTGCCATAACAAAATACCACAGACTGAGTGACTTAAATAACAGAAATGTATTTCCTCACAGTTTTGGAGGCTAGAAGTCCAAGATTCAGGTGCTAGCAGGATTGGTTCCTGGTGAGGCCTCCTCCTCGACTTGCAGACGGCTGCCATCTTGCTGTGTCCTCAAATGGCCTTCCCTCTGTGCGTGTACACTCCTGGTGTCTCTTCCTCTTTTCCTAAGAAATGCAGTCCTGGGGCTTCCCTGGTGGCGCAGTGGTTGAGAGTCCGCCTGCCGATGCAGGGGACACGGGTTCGTGCCCCGGTCCGGGAGGATCCCACATGCCGCGGAGCGGCTGGGCCCGTGAACCGTGGCCGCTGAGCCTGCGCGTCCGGAGCCTGTGCTCCGCAACGGGAGAGACCACAACAGTGAGAGGCCCGCGTACCGCAAAAAAAAAAAAAAAAAATCAGGGCCCACCCTTAGGACCGCATTTAACCTCATTACTTCTGTAAAGGCCCATCTCCAAATGCAGTCACACTGGGGGTTTGGACTTCACATATAAATTTGGGCGGGGGGAGGCGGGGGTAACACAGTTCCGTCCATAACAACATGTAAAGTATTGGCTATCATCCCATAAGTTCTCAAGAAATTGTTAACACCCCGTTATTAGTAGTAGTATCATCATCATCCTTTATATTTTTTAAAACCCTTTATATGCTTCAGCCTAGTTCAGGCCCACGAGTTAGGAAGGGACATCATTGTCACCTTTTATCTTATGTGCAAGGATCTTCAACCCCCCTCCTCACAATGGCCTTACCAACGTGGGTAGCCGAGAACCTAGCCCTTTGGTATCTGATTTAATTACCTTCTCACCCCTCCACCCTGTCTCCTCTTTAGTCTCTAAACTCGTCGTTTTCCTGTCATTCATCCTTCCCCTTTCTACAGCATCATTCCACTTGCTGTGTCTGGGATTCTAGTGGGTAAAACAAATAAACTTTTATTGCCACGTCCTGAGTGAACAGCAAGAGGCAAAGAGCCTTTCATCATCTTCCAAGTTGTTCGTTTCAAAGATAAATTTCTTAGATTTTCAGCAGTCCTTCCACATTGCCTGGCTTGGTCATTCCTCTTTTTGCACCCATGAGTCTGGTCACCTGGCAGCAAAACAGTTTCCACCAGAGATGTATGGTCCCTAATTTGCAATTACTGTGTCAGCCCATCCAGGCCCTCCTGTTCATGCCGCAGTTATACTGTTTTGTACACGATATTGCTAAGGTGGTGGGAAGCAGTTTATCTTTAGTAGGTGAGCTTTTCTCTTCCAACGCTTTATGTTCTTGATTTTGCTTAATAATGCCGCACTCGTTTGTAGGAAGTATGAAGGTAAACTGTAGGGATATGAGATCTGTAACTGAGCACGGCGGCCTCAGAACGAATGAGGTTTTATTATTCTGAGAGTTCTCCTCGAAATTCTTTATGTTTTTCTCAGCAGGTTAAAATCCCAAACGAGTCAATAAATTTAAATCAGGCAAAATGAGAGCTTGGATTGAAGAGGGGAAATTTTCTCAATATCTCTAGAAACTAGTTCAGGAATCCTTCATCTAATGGAATGTAGATGTAAAGAGCTTAAGTTACTGGATGGCTTGTATTTTCTTATTGGTTTCCATATACAACCACATGCATTTAAAGTTCAGAAGAGGACTTCCCTGGTGGCACGGTGGTTAAGAATCCACCTGCCAATGCAGGGGACCACGGGTTCGAGCCCTGGTCGGGGAAGGTCCCACATGCCGTGGAGCAACTAAGCCCGTGCGCCACAACTACTGAGCCTGAGATCCACAGCCCGCGAGCCACAACTACTGAACCCACGTGCCACAACTACTGAAGCCCGTGCACCTAGAGCCCGTGCTCCACAACAGGAGAAGCCACCGCAATGAGAAGAAGCCCTTGCACCGCAACGAAGAGTAGCCCCCGCTCACCGCAACTAGAGAAGACCTGGGCACAGCAACGAAGACCCAGTGCAGCCAAAAATAATAATAAATAAATAAGTAAATAAATTTATAGAAAAAAATAAAGTTCAGAAGAAAGTTTAGATAAAACTTTAAAGATCAGAGAAAATCGTTTGATCTTTGGATATATATCAAGGCCATGTAAAAATGCAGCAAACTTTAAAAACTGCAAAGAAGACTTTAAATTGTTAATCACGATGTAGAGGAACATAAAATTTTAAATTCTTTTTCTCCCATTTTCCGTATTTTCCACAACATGGATATAGCAATTTCGTGAAAAACACAGTGAAACATTACAGTGAACCGTCATCACTCTAAACAGTAAAAATGTGAAACCAACTACTGATGGAAAATGGTCTATAGTTTTGTAGACAGCTTATTTTTGACTATTTAGTCCCCAGTTCTGTAGTCTGTTTTTTTAAATTAGAACTTAAGGGTTCTCCTAGACTCCTGGAACATTTATTCATTCGTTCAACAAATTGGTACTGAATCCCCCCTCTGAGCCTGGTGCTCAAGGTGTCGAGCTACAGTGATAACCAAAAAAGCAAGATTCTCAGAGTTTACATTCTACTAAAGGAGATAGGAAATAATTAAATAAGCCTATGATATATTGCCAAGGAGTGATGAGCACTACGAAG